GCACTGCTGTGCTCAACCCCAAGGCCGCTCGGGCTCTCCCTGTCGCCTTCCCACCAGCCTTGCCCAGGGCCACAAGGACGGCAAAGCCCTGCAGGTGAGGCTGTGGTGACCTTTTCCCTTGCCTGCTCAGTGCTGAGCCCTGGGTGCTGGGCAATGAGACTCTCACTAGCTGCAAGGCCCCCTCTGGGTGCTCAGTGGGCAGTGGGCACCCAGCACAGTACCATGCTTAGCACGCTGCCCACTTTACAGAACAAGAGGCTGCTAGCGCTGGGGCAGCAGTACGCATGGTCATTCACCTAGCCCCCCTCATGTCGGGTATCACAGCACTGCCACACACACCGAGATTAGACCCAAACATGATCTCGCACAGTACCGCATCTTCTCCGAGTGGCAAGCAGCAGGTGCGTGGAAGCCCCACTCACACCTGTGAAGTACAGGTGCCCCGGGAAAGGGATGCGGGCCTTGCAGTCAGTGGGCTGCTGTGCCACCCCTTCTCTCCACTGAGCCTAGGGCTATTTGTTTTTGGCGGAACTGGGGATTGAACTCAGGCCCTTGAGCTTGCCAGGCAAGCGCTTATTTTACTGAGCTATTTCCTTGGCCCCTATAAACTTCTGACATTGCCAGTCAAGTGGAAGACCCAGTACTATTATGGACTACTTGACTATTTTGGAATATTTTGCTGAGTTCACACACCTGTAATATTTAAATGATGGAACTAAACAAGAAAAGGGGATATAGATGAATGACCATTTTGTATCTGTGCATTCAAAATGGTTAGGATAGATATATAGCTACATTCTCTTAATTCAAGGAATAGAGGGTTTTGTAAATAGGATATCCTGTCTGCATCTTGTACAACAAATAACCACTAGGAAGGCAGTATGCAGTGTGTTAATTAGTGGAACTGTCCTACCAATTTAATATGAAACTGTCTCATTGCTATCTCTCGATACAATTATGGAAAAAAATTGGTTTATACTAAAAATGATCTAATAAAATGGATATTTCACATTAGTAAAAAAAAAAAAGATGAAGAAGAAAGAAAAAAAGCAAAGAAAAGATTAGGACTGGAGTGTGCCTACTCTCCTAGCACCCCAGGACGCAGAAACAGGAGGACTGCAAGTCAAGCCAAGTCCAGGCAACTTAGCAACTTAGTGAGATCTCGGCTCAAATTGGCCAAGTGCAGAAGCCACGGCTTCCAGCCCTAGTACCTCCCAAAATTCCCCTCCCCACCTCCCAATGCCACGCACAGCCAGACCCTGAAGAGAGCCATCCCTGAGAACTCAAGCCTTCCGGCACTGAGCCCTAAACTCCAGCCACCCAGCTGAGAGAAAGCATTTTTGCTGCATACAGCACTGTTACGGCGGCCAGGTCCAAGACAAGATCTTCCTGTCTGCTCCCAGGCCTCAGAAAGCAGCCAGGATGGAACAACGACACGCATCTGCCTTCCTGCCTGACAAAAAACTGGGAGCAGCACATGAAGCAACAGTTTCCAAACACAGGACACTGCGCTGCAGAGGACAGTGATCCCCAAAAGAAAGGAAACAAATAAGCTGCACCGAGACCATCCTGGCTGCAGTGCTGAGAACCCTGAGTGAGGCGATAGAGCAGGAATCCAGGGAGGACGAGGCCACCAGAATCCACAGGACGGCGGTGGTGGAGAAAGCAAGGACACATGAAGACACATGTTGTGTGCTGGGGAGGCACCGGTGATTGAGTTCCACAGCCAGGAGCTGGAGTTTCAGCTGTACTGCGGAGGTTGTGAGGCAGACCCCAGGCAGTGACCCTGTCCCACAGTGGGGTGGGGTAGGGGGGCAAGCTGCAGACTGAGGGGCGGTGTGGGAGGCTGGCTGGGGGAGCCTTGGCAGTCAGTACGCCTGGCTCAGGTGTGGGGCTGGCATGAGCTCGGGGGAGCACTTGCCTCACACGTGCCAAATCAGACACAATGAACTTTTGGTAAGAAGTGACAGTGGGAAGGCACACGCGTGTGTGTATGCACACGTGAGCACCTGCAGGCAGCCCTGCCACCTCACAGCCCAGTATCACCTGGTTCCAGCCCAACTGTGACAGCAGGGTGGGGACTGGAAGCAGTGGAAGCGGGGAGGCAGCGGCCCCACCCCAAGGCCCAGGGCTGTCCAAGAGGGGCAGGGGCCACAACACCCAGCTGGACTCACACAAGCCCTCATGGTCACCTGCATGTCACCCACAGCAGAAATAGATGACATAGCTTGGAAGTGCCCCATTCCAACGCGGATCGATTACCGTGACAGGCACCTTGCTGTGTGGCTCCCACAGCCCCCAGGGGGTCGTCCTATTTTTCAGGGCACGGTGATGTCTCCAGCGCAGAGTGAATGCCAGAGCTTGTCACACTGCTGGCCTCCCACTGACCCTACCTCCTCCCCATGCCCACTGTGACCATTCCAGTAAGGGGACCCTGGAGAAGCTTGACACCAGCCAGCTGTGAAGCCCCATGGAGAAGAGGGCAGGACCAGATCAGAGAGGACGGGATGGGATGCGCCTCACCTCCACGTTCTCCATCAGGCGCTCGTCTCGGCCCAGGCCAGGCCCCACCACGAGGGCATGCAGCCGGGGCAGCCACTCTTCCACCTCGAGCTCCCGGGCGGGGCTGTCGCTGTGCAAGGAAAGGGCAGAGGCATCCTCAGACTCTCACTGCTTTGCTTCTCACAGCATTTTATTTTGAAAAAATGACTAGATTTTCAGAAGACATGTGGGACATAGTCGCCCAAGGTGCAGAGCGATGTGGGCCCAGGAGCAGCCCCGAGGAGGAGCAGTGCACGTGTGCACAGAGGTCGTCCAAGTGGGAGTGCAGTGGAGACCCCGCTACGAAGCCACCCTGGCCACACGCTGGAGCTTGCTGGGCAGTGCAGGGGTGCAGCCAACACCCCAGAAAGTCCAACTTCCAGGTCCACCTGCCCAGTGTGGACCCCAGTCCAGCCACTTCCTGCCACCCAGGGCCATGGGCTGCCCAGGGCCTCAGCTTGCCTTCACTGTGTCTGTCCCCTTGACTCCAGTACAGGGTAACTGGCTAGGGGCCTCTCTTGCATACCACCCCCCCCACCCCCGCAGCTGAGACTCACAGGACCGGGTGGACAATGAGCTCCGGGCTGTATGACTTAATTACTGGTGCTGCCTCCCTGGCACAGAACACGTGGGACAAATCTGCACCCTGAGGAACAAGAGAGGGTGAAAGGGAACAGCAGCATGCGCCAGGCACCCTACCCTGTGTTCCTCTCCAGCTCACGGGACCCCAGCCAGCCCGGCCCCTGCTCTGGGTCCACACAGGAGGAGACGCAGCTTCACAGCCAGACCACAGCCAGGCAGCTCCTGAAAGGACAGATGGCACTGGAAGTGTCTGGGCCAGCATGGAGGTGCCCAACGGGTAGAGGCCCCACAGTCCGTTCCCAGAAGGACAGAAGGAAAGGAAGGCAGGGTGGAGGGCAGGAGCACCAAGATGCACTCTTGTGATGCCAGTACTCAGGTGGCCAGGGAAGGAAGATCTCAAGTTGGAGGCCTGAACAATTTAGTGAGCTGTCTCAATGAAAAGGACTGGGGATGTAGGTGGAGCACCTGCGTGGTACTTCCAAGGCCCTCATTTCATCTCCAGGGGCATGAAAAAGAGAATGAGTGAGTGAGTGAGTGAGTGAGAGAGAGAGAGACAGACAGACAGACAGACACACACAGAGTGTGTGTGCGTGCGCGCATGATTGTCCTGCTGCAGCCTCCTAAGTGCTGGGATTACAGGCATGCACTGCCACAACTAGAGAAACTAGTTTCTGAGGCATCAACCACTTACTCCAGGACCCTGGTGCATCCCAGAAGCACTGTGGACGACACAGCAAGAAAAAAACTAGTCTTGAGTCTGGGCGTGGCGGTGCAGGCCTGTAGTCCCAGCACTAGGAAGGCAGAAATCAGGAGGATCACTATAAGCCTGAGCTGTGTAGTGAGACCCTGCACACACACACACACACACACACACACAACCCTTAAAAAGAATAAAACTGGTCTGAGACAGAGGTTAACAGGTGTTGGACTCCTTGGTGACTGCACTGGACATCAGGATAGATTATGCAAAGCTGTTTCTATTATGATCACACTGGTATTTTATTTAGCCTTCTATCTGAAAATATTTGCTAGATATACAGCTACTTTCTCTTAATTGAATGAGAAGAAAGATTTGTACTAACAGTGCTTGGACAAGATATCATGTCTGCATCTTGTACTATGGATAACCACTACAAAGACAACAATATGCAATGGATTAATTATTGAAACTGTCCTATTAATCGGCTTTGAAACTGTCTCGTTGCTATTTTTTTCTTTTTTTTATTTTTATTTGAGAGAGAGAGAGAGAGAGAGAGAGAGAGAGAGAGAGAGAGAGAG